CAGCACAGCCTTAAATGCCTGCGGAACAATTTGTTGGTATTTGTGACACAAACTTTACTGGCCACATCCAGGGCTGCATATGTACGATGTGCTGTATTATTACACCAGGATTTTGTGGCAAGTATCTCCCTGCATCTGAAAGAGAAGTTGTCAAACCCTTTGTCACTAACAAGAAGCCACTCCCCAGACTGATGAAGATCAAATGCTTCCCAGAAACAAGTATCATTCCTCTCATTAGCTGCTGTGGTTACTGAAGCAGGGGCACTTGCACAATTTGCAGTGTTAGAGGCAATTTGATGAGCTTTGGACTTGATCCTCGTGGAGGGAGGGGAGGTGATGGCACGGCAAGGCTGGAGCATGGTGGGAGCTCTGCTCCTGCACTGGGGACAGAGTGCAGGCACTATTTGGAAGCCTGAGCCCTGCCAGCCCCTGCAACAGGGCTGCTGATGGCCAGAGAAACCTGCCTGGCCAGATTTTTCCTGAGGTTGCAGGACCCATGAGATATCAAACCTGGCCAGACCCTGCTGGGATGCACTTCTGCCAAGAAAGTAAACGGGTTGTTTATACAAATCTGGGCTGGGGCTGTTTATCTGCGTCGGTGAGGGGAATGGTTTGTGTTTGGGGAGGGCGGGACAGCGGTGGGATGGATAATTCAATTTGGGTTTTGGCAGGGGGCAGGGAAGAGGGTGGGCCTGGGAAAGGCTGTCGGGCCTGGCAGGGGACAGTGCTGGCCGCCCGGCCAGGTCACACCGTGGGTCTCCGCCCTGCCAGCACAGCTCTGGCACCGCTCTCGGCGGAGGAAGGGGGGTCTGGGCGGCTCCAGTCCCCTGGGTGCCACGGAGTAAGTCCTCGAAAGCTTCAAGGCCAGCACACGGGCCCTTTCGCCAGGGAATACGTGAGCACCGTCTGACAGCAGCGCCAAGGGGACCGGCCTGACGGCACATCCGGCGGGCCGTGTCCGTCCACCATGACTTCATCCCCCTCTGAGTCATCCCCAGGGCGGGCAGGCGGCTCCTCCAGCCGCCCATCACCGCTGCCGACCGACCCGACACTGGAGAGAGCATCACCGATGGCTGTGCCTGGCGGGATGGCCCCTCGCCTGCCCATCCCAGCATTGCATGGGAGCCCCATGGTTTTTTCCCCCAGGAATTCACCAGCACCACCGTAGGAAGCATATCTGGCATGCTGTAGCCACTCCACTACCACACGGGCAACGCTACTCCAAAATCAAAGCAAATTCACTCTGGAATAAAAACCTCACGCTCCAAGCGGAATAATTATGTTGAAGTAGGGTCACTTTCCATCCAGTCTGCTTTCAGGCCAATGCTTGTGCTCCCACAGCCCAGCAAGACAGCTTCCCAAAGGGCAAAGCACATGGTGCTTCAGCTTTGGTGCCCCTGCTATAGAATTTGGGGGGTTCACAGAGTCATTCTGAAAATGTCCTGAAGACTGACTGCCACAGACCCTGAGGTGACACATCTGCACAAGAGCCTTTCATTACAAGCTCATGCAAATTTATGCTTATTACTGTACACTGACAATTGGATCAGACTCTTTTACCGCGGCACAAATTCTTTTCTTTCTTTCCAATGAGAAATAACAACTAGGAAGCTATTTCTCTTCCCATCAATTCCCCCCTTGCAGGGTTAAATTGCCTTTTCCATACACAAAGACAGAGGATTATTTTAGAAATATCTTAACCACAGGAGCCTTAATATTATGCATCATGACCCACTGGATGTGGGTTACCTTTCACTCTTCAGTCCGGAGAAGGCAGCGTGCCGGGAGCATGAGCCCTGCCTTGGAGCGGGTGGCTCCGTTTTCTGACAAACTGGAACTGTAATCATGTGAAGCCCCTGCTCTTGGCAGGAGATTTTTTTAACAATAAGTAGCAGCTTTATGAGGAATATCCCTTGCCAGGGGACCGTCAGCCAGAGAGCAGTGGGATTCTTATTTTTTAATGGACTTTTAATAAGCAGGCCACAAAGATAGTCCTGACACCAGAGCAGCTTTATTTCTATGTGTAATTATCTCCCCTTCGCTCTCAAGCTCCCCACAGCCTCCAAGAGCAAATAAGACCACCAACCTCTCCATGAGAAAAGGAGGAAGAAACCAGCATAGGGCCACTTGAAATGCTCTTTGTATCAAACCTCATCCGCTCCTCTCATCTGATACAAAAGCCAACCTCTCCTCCCCTGCTCTAAATTAATTAAATCTCAGCTTTTGGCATTTAACTGCTGGAACCCTTACCAGCAGGGAAATCCATGCTCAGAGTGCTGGGAACACAGTGCCATGCGTCCCAGTGCAGCAGGAAGGCTGCTTAGGGCTCTGTCTCCTCCCTGCACATTGCCCATCCCTGTGCTGTCCCTCCGTGTCTCCTGTCCTTCATCCCGTCACCATCTCTGGTGCCTAAGACTGGGCAAGTAATGGCAGAGCTGCTGGTGCTGGGTCAGCCCAAAGCTGCAGGCTCCTCAGTCACAGTCCCCACTCCCCACCAGGCCACATGGATGACAGGATGAGGGACCTGCACAGGGTTACAAACAATTCAGGACCCCTGGGAACAAGCAGGAGGATGGGCAGCCAGCGTGCCAGCTGAGCCTTCAGGACGGGTTACTCCCAAATGAGTACAACTTCTGCAACACAGGCAGAATTTCAGCTGCTTCTGAAAAGACTCACTAAGCAAAATCCCACCAGGAGCATCCCTCCATCCCAGCCCTCCAGGCCTGCCAGTATCTAACTTCTCCTATGCTGGTTGGCTGTGCGCCAACTCAGCCTGGCCTGGGAAAGCAGTTCCCAAGGGAACAGTGCTCAAGGGAGATTGTGAAGGGGTGCAAGGAAGATGCTTCACTGCTCCCACCAGCCTCTGACAGGACTTTTAACAACACATTCCTCCCTTCATTACCACAAAATCCCACCCTAGCACAGCCTCCCCCTGCAGCACAGACCCAGCTGTGCTGCCCCCCACAGCCTATGCAGCAGTGTGCCCTTCCCAAGCCTGCACACAGGCTCTTCTAGTGCTCCTCTCATGCAGCCTTGCAGGAAATGGATGCAAATACTGGAGGTAGCACAGCACAAAGTGTGCATCTCAAAACCCACCAAGAACTCTGGGGAAGAGCTGCTCCCAGCTGGATTACATACAGCAACTGCTGTTTAGCACCTCTCTCCTACTGCAAATCATGCAGCCAGCCTGTGGCTCTTAAAGCTTGCCTGAATATCCCACCTTCCACCTGAGCAACCAACAGTAATGGGAAATATGCACTGTGCCACTTCCCCCCCACAAACTCAAGGGGACTCCCCTTTCAAAATCAATAATCTGGCTGAGATCTGCTCCAGGGGAGGTGCAGTCACTCCCTTCTGTGCAATTCCTACTTGCAAAAACAGCCCTGCCTTTTCCTACGGCTGATGAAGCAAGTCCCTGCTTCCAAAGGCTGGCACTGAATGAGGTTCCAAAGGGCAGCACAAATCTCCAGTGCCCAGGCTGGACCAGGCTCATAAGTGAGGGAAAGCGTCATGGGAAATTTGCAGCTAGCGATGCTTTGGATAATTTTAAAAACCAAAACACAAATAGTCCCTGCTGGGTGCAGGATGGGCAAGCCTTTGGCCTCAGGGGTAGGTAGGCTGATGCAGAGAAAAGCCTCTCACTCTCCACACTTGCTCAATTTAACATTGAAACCAGAATGAGCTGTGCTAAATGTCTCCACCGCTAACTAGAAACAAATGTGGCCTCATGTTCTAGTTGCTGTGATCTAACAAAACAGACCATGGTAAACACTATAAAAATGTACTGGAGGGAACCACCCTGTGTTTGCTGGGAGAGGGACTGGATAATCTAATAGGGCTTTATCCATCCCTAATGTCTCTGAAAAAAAGAAGGGAAAATTGGGCCCCGTCCATGACATTCGTCATGTGCTAGCTATTCTGATGCCTTAATGCTGCAGAAATCAAATTGGAGTGAGGCTACCTATCTGCTTCCCAATCAGGATCTAGGCCCAAGTGCTGCTTTTTATGGCCATGCAGCGTGAGGAGCTGCTGATGTCAGTGGTGGCACGGGCCAGGCCAGTTTTTCCATCCTTATTCCACATTATCTGGGGAGACAGTCCCTTTGTGGCCACCTCACTTTCCTCATTACGTGAATAATCACTCACTTCATGGATGTGGGGATCCACCAGCAGGACCTGCCTCTGGCTGAAAGCATTTGTGGGGATAAGGCACCTGCCCAAGAGGTTAGCACTTATCTGGGTACCTGGCTATTGTGGGATCAGCAGCAACACTGTCAAGGTCATGTCTAGATTTGTATCTTGGCCATGATAACGGCAAGGGTTGACTCAGTCCCCTACCCACAGGCACCTCGTGGCGCCCTGGTATCTGCTCTGCCCTTAACCAAAGGCTTGAGGGTCTCCTCTAGCTTCAGTGCCATATCAGCCAGCCCCACAAGCATCTCGGACACCTCCACAGGGATCTCAGACACCACACACACTCCAGATGGATTTATATGCCTCTGCTCAGGCATCACCAGAAGTCACTGCCACCCCAAGTCGTTCTCTCACACCTTTGCCTATAGGAAGAGCCTTGGGCAGGCTCTGCAAAGCAGGAGCATCCCCTCACCCAGCTCCCAGGAGCCCTGTCATTGGCTGCCATTGCCGGAGAGGAGAGAGCCCCACTCGGTTCTTGCACAGAGCCCAGGCTGCACGGGCAACCCTGTGCTCCTGACACACAGCCAGGTTTTCTGCATTCACTCCATCCTCTTTTTTAAGCATCTTGGGTTTGTTTGCTTTTTTAAAGATACTGTGACCTTGGCATAGGGACGGACAAACATCAACTGCCAGAAAAAAGCATGTTCTGAAAAGCTACAAGAGCACAACCACAGCCCCATCACAGCCTGCAAGCAAGATCCCCACGCGGGGAGGGAGAAAAAGCAACACTTGGGGGCTCACAGAAAGCACTACAGCTCCTTGCTCAGGCCAAGCCATGACGCTTCCACGCGTTCCTCCAGCTCTTACCTGGCTCTTCCCGCGTCGCCGGTAATTCCTCCTTACAAGGTTCTTGTAATTCTCATTCTTCTTGGTCAGGTAATAATAGAGGACACAGTCAGCCACCGTCTGCAATGACATGGGCAAGTCAGGGAACAGAAGGTCCTGTTCTCTTGCGCTGTTGGGGCACAGACTTCCAGGAGCAGCATTCAGACCCGGCCATCACCGGGTGTCCCGCTGATCCTGAAGACCTGCAGTCCAACAGCTTCCTTTCACCTCCCTCCCAAAGGCCTCCTGAGCTGGAAGAGTGGGGCCATGCACCATGTCCCAGTAAAAAGGCTGAGCTCTTCCAAGGGACAGACCAGGGTGGTCCTGCAGGTGTGAGGAGACAGAGAGGGGGTGCTGAGCAGAGAGCACCCCGTGTTGGAAACGAAGCAGGGGAAGGGCTGACCCCAGATGACCGTGGCAACCAGAGGCAGAAGAAGGAGCTGCCTGTCACCCTCTGTTGAGGTTACACGAGGCACAACCTGCCACACGACTGTCAGCTGGTGTTACTTCCACCCATTAAGCTCGCTGGCTCGAGCGCCCACGACTTTCTTGTGGACAGATTGAGATCCCAGCGTTCAGGAGCTGCCATCCCAACTCCAACTCCAGTGGCTGGCTCCACAAGCACCATCACAGATTGGATGTGTTAGGAAAACAAGGAACCATGGCCAGGACATATCCTGCTCCTGAACAGCACAGAGCGTGCCAGCATGCTGGGAAAAATCCTCTGCTGAACTGGGTGGACACCTGAATACTGGTCTCAGGCTACACCTTCACATACAGGGATCAGTGGCTGCATGAACAGGAATAATCCCACAGACCCATCACACCACAAGTGCTCAGGAGCCGGGGGCAGCTGCGTGCGCCCGGGGGTGCCCGGGGGCTGTGCTCGCCCCATCCCTCTGCAAGGAGTGGAACCATTTGCAAAAACAGATTGCAACTTTTAAAGTGTTAATTGGATCTCCTTCTAAACTAGCTCTGATTATACACACACACGCGAACACAAAAACTTACAGTCATCTGTTCCAAGGGCTAAGATCACTATTTTTTTATAATGCAATTTAAAAATCTATTAATTCATTACATTGAGCCATACTTTGCATCTCTCTCCAACAGGATAATGGATGTGTTCTGTATCATAATTACAGCCTGATTTACAAACGAGTACAAATAAAATTAGAAGACATTTTACAGCTTGGAACACAGACTGGATTGTGAACATCATCCAAGTCCCACCACTTTCGGCTTTACCAAATGGGAAAGGCTGAAGAGCTCGGAATCTTACAGCAACAGCAGCAGCACGAGGTGACTGCTGGCCTTTGCTTCCTTGTTACTTTGGACAGGAAGGTCAAGGCCTTATAAATTATTTCCCCAGCCTGAGTCATGCAGAAGCAGAGAATAATTTAAGGTAGAAAGGACCTCTGAAGGCCACCCTCTAAAGGGCAGAGGGGTTCCCCCAGAGTGAGGGAACACTGCATGGATGACGCCCTGCATGAGAAAGGTAGGGGATGCAACTAACTACAGGGACCAGAAAAGCAGCAGCTCTCAAATGTTTCCTGCTCAGGAGAGCATCTGGGTGATGGATATCGCTCTCTTTCCAGGCTGTGTCTGTCCAGGATTTGCCCATATGGCCTGTCCCACAGAAGGTACCTGGTCTTGCTTAGAATGGGACCAGAGACTCACTCTTCACCAGATCTCTTTCTCAAACCTTTCTTCATCAACCCAATTAACAGTAAAAGAAAACTCCAAGCAGCACAACATAGAAGCCTGGGAAAGGTCCTACAAACAAACTCTTCCTAAACACCAAGGGGAGATGTACATGCTTATAGGACACCCACCCGAACTGTTGGATGAAATGGGGCTCAGCCCACCCTCATGATCTTCTCTATGAGCAAAGAGACCCCTTCACTTTGTGCTGGGCAGCCGAGCGCCCACCCCCTGTGTGACAGCCTGGCTGGTGCAAAATGCCTCCGGGAGATGCTGGAAAGCAGCTCCTCAGGCAGATCACGGGGTGGGCTGAGACACCCACGCGCCAGGCTGGCTGCGTTCACACCTCTCGGCTCCGAGCTCCCAGTCTCTCCGCAGCTGACTCAGTCCCTCGTCCCTGCAGGAAGCCGGGAGGCGTCTGGACCGTGCCCGGGGCTCGGAGCCACCACCACCCACAGGTGCCCAGCAACTGCTGGCAGCTCCAGCACCACGAGCCAAGTGATGGGGGAGAGACAGCATGATTCAGGTTAAAGCCAGGCAGGGAGGCTTACCTTCCTGTCCAGAAAGGATGCAATCAGGCCGAAGTTCTTCGGATGCTGCATGAACCTGTGGAGCGAGAGGGAGAGGGTTAGTCTGGGTGCTGGCTCTGACCCCCTCACAGCTGGGCTGCCGTGCCCTGCGTGCCTGGAGCAGCGAGGACAGATCCCTGAGGGACTTCGGGGTTTGAGAAAATACTTGTCTGCTGCTCAGCTTCCCAGAAAGACAGGAACTTTAAATTTAGCCCAGTGGAGCTGGGCTGGTTGGGAGCTTCGATGTGCGAATGTTCATCATGGGAAGAGGGGTCAGCAGTGCTTGACAGCTGCTCATCACCCTGCTCGATCCCATGGACACCCAAGCCCACACCAACAGCAGGACAGGCACAGAGGGCAGCAGCACACTTGGCCAAGGTCTCAGGATTTGGCAAGGAAAGGGAGAGGAATTGCCATCACACCCCACATCATGTCTGTGTGTGGCCCTGCCACTGAGCAGGACTCCAAGCCCCGCTGGGCTGTTGGGAGCAGCTGCAAAGGGCAGGAAGGGAAACCCAAACCCCAGGAGGAAGTACAGAGCTGCCACAATGCTGAGTAGCTCAAGAGATCCCCGGTGGCACAGTGGCTCCAAGGAACACTGCCTCGTGCCCAGCAAGTAGAGGAGCTGTCAGCAGGCTCATCTGTGGCTCCGGCAGCCCAGGAGCCAACATTGCCCGCTCAGGGGAAGCTGACTCCAGGCAGAGAGATGGTTCTTCCAACAAATCAGGTCAGCAAGCCCTTGGCACGAGGTGGTCTCGCTGGCAGCACAGTTAACTGGTGCATCACCAAAGCACGGTGAACCTGGTGAGCAGTGACTTTGTGCCAGGGCTGGAGCACAGCACCAGCCCCAGAGGAGAGGCCACCAGCACAGGCTTTACCCCTGGGAGCCGAGTGGCCACGTTCAGCTCGTGCACCTCTGCCAGCTCCCAGGAGCTGATGGCTCTGTGCCCTGGGGAAGTGGATCGGAGGCAAAAGGTGGGAGAGCTGTGGTGTGGGCGTAACATGGGCGGGATGTGGCCAGCACCTTGGTGTCTCCAGCCCTGCCAGTGATTCCCCTGGGGCAGCTGGCTGAGCTCTCTCCTACCTTTGCTGCTCTGTCCCAGTGCCAAACTCAGAGTCAAGGCACTAAACTGAACTCAGTGAGGGCCTGACCAACTCCAGCCATGGCATTAGGATGCGGGTGCTGTCACCCACATGCTGATGCCCTTCTTATGCAGGATCCCATATGTTTTGGGTGGCACTGCAATGAGAACACTGTCCCCATAAATGGTCACTAGAGAAAAAAAGAAACCAGAAATGCTAGGGGGAAAAAAAAAAAAAAGGAAAAAAGCAAAGCAGCCAGGTTGCTCAGACAACCTGGGATCAGGGCATGGAGCCCTGTCAGGGGCAATGCAGGTGACAATCCACTCTCTTTCACGGGGCAGGCCATGTCCCCATGATGAGAGATGGATGCTCCACTGTCACAGTGTGCAGCACGGCAGCGCTTCAATGCCTGAGCAACACCCTGCTCTTTCACCAGCAAGCCACAGCTTCCCTGGAGTAGGCCAGCAATGGACTCTCAACAGAGACCTGAAATTCTGCCCAGAAGCAAATCAAATCAGACTCTTCCTCGTGGTTATGTTCTGACAGCTGAAATAGTTCAGACCTGGCATTTGTCGGCCTTGCAGTGCCTGGCTGTTTATTCCAAGAGCACCCGCCAACAGGGCTGAACAAAAGGTTGCTCCAGGTTTTCCTGGTCTCAGGAGGAGGCCAGCTTTGGGTCACAATCATAGATGACACAACTCTGGTTCACCTTAAAAACCCAGGTTAGAAGCTGCAGCACAGCAGGCAGCTCAGCTACCTGCACGCCAGGGTGGGGGAGAGCCAGGGCAGGACTCCCTGCACCCTCCTTACAGCTCCTGAGTACCAATTTCTCAAAATGAGCTTTGTGAGAGCCCTGAAACCCTGCTGTATTTATGCCTCAAGCTCTATATCACCCACAGTGATGACACAGAAACCACCGTGCACAGCAGGATGCACACACTGGGTGTGGATTCTTCCAGCCCCATTAGCCAGGCACGGCCCTGCCATTAAAGACCAAGTAATTAGCCTTTGCGTCATTTGTGGCAAGCCTTGCTGTTTGGAGTGGCACATTTTAAGGCTAATTAGCAATGAGGATTCTCCTCTAGCAAAGGCTTGGAGCTGGTTTGCTTGTTTTGTTCTTTTTCGGTCCATCTTGGCAATTAATTATTTCAGCTGCAAACGGGAGTTGTCACAAGCAGGGACAGGAGGAGGGATCCTGGACACAGAGAAGCTTCCAGCTTGGCTGGCTGTGGGCCTGCTGGTAATCCATGGAGCCATCCCACAACAGTCTGGAGGCCAGACTAAGTGGTGCTGCTGCAAAGGAACAAGGTGGCCCTGGCACACCCACATAACTCCATGTCCCTCCTGTCCACAGCAGGGAGCCGCAAGAGAGCTCATCCTGCCAGAAGCTGAACTTCAGCTCTGTTTTCACAGACAAACACAGCACACTGGGGGCACAAAGGCTGCTCCAGCCCTCCATGCAAACACACCTGGCATAGGGCTATGAGATACAGGGGAGTCTGGATGTGAGACTGAGCTGGGGACCCCCATCTTGGCTGACAGCACAGTGGTACCCAGGGAAGGGAACAGTCATCACCCAATTGATCTCAGCTGCTAGAGCAAAGCTGTTCCCAAGCACTGCTTGCAAACAGTAGAAAGCACCACAGCCAGAGTCTGCACGTGTCTGATGTGGGAATGCATCCATGGAAACAGCAGCCGGTGGCAAATCCAGCAGACAGCAGGACGGAGCGCTGAGGGACGGGCACCAGCTGGAAGCTGCAGCCTGAGGGGGTCCACATAGGGGGGCTGAACACTGACAGCCACGAGAATTCCCCTGGACACACAGTGCCCAAAGGATAGCATGTAAATACAGAAAGGTAATGCGTATGGAGTGTTTGGTTTCATTGGTGTTATCCTTGAACTGGCTGATACAAAAGCAGAAAAACTTCCCATTCTCACCCTGTCGCAAGCAGCAGCTTCCCACAGCTCAGCACACGGGCACGAACACCCCAACCATACAGCAAGGCCTGAGGTTTCTGTGCAGGTCCATCACCCTGTGCCCAGGTTCAAGGTAACACAGGGACTGTAGCTGTGTCCCTGGGGGGCAAGATAAGCCCCTGGGAAATTCCTGTCTTAGCGTGCTGGGGCCCCGGCTGAAGCCCTGCACGGATCCTGTCCACGTTCCCTAAAGGCTGCACTGAGAGAGGTGTGTGGGCTGCACTCACTTTTCCCGGAAGGTCTCCTTCTCCTGTTCACTCCACATGTTCATCACCTGCCGGTCCTTGTAGACCTTCATGGGGTCATCCATGAGGCCGTTCATGTTGATGAATTTAATGCGCTGCTGGTCAGCATCGTAGAGCATGGGCGGGATGACAGCGAGCTGGCGCATCTGCTTCTCCAGGTTCTTTGGGGAAAGCAGAGAGAACAGTTGGTTAGCACCACGGGCCCGCGGGGACTGCAGGGGACAGATGTTCAAGAGGAAAAGGACAGGAGGAGGAAGAACAGGAGAATTCAAAAGCAAGCACTAGACAGCTTTATTGCTAGAGTAATTGTAAATTAAACACTGAAAGAGGCGATCACAGTCAGCCAGGAAACAATTATTCTTTCATTTTGGATTAAAAGGCTTTAAGATTCCGCATGGAAATGATTTAAGCAAAACAGGTCCTGACCATGATGAGAGACAAGTCAAGCGGTGGCACAGGGAATGCAGACCCTTTCCCAGCCATCAAACCCATGGCCACATGGAGGTTCATCCCCCCACCCAAACTGCAAAGGAAGTGGGCCAGCTCTGCAAAGCTTCCTGAATGGGTGGGCAGAGGGAGATGTCATTTCTCCCTTCCACAGGAAACCTAAATTGTTCCAAGAGGTTTCAAATGTCACTATAACGGGGCTGTAATTTCTTTTTTTTTCTTCTTACTGCAACACCCTGGGACATAATCTGATGCCTTTACTCCATCCTATGGAACACAAAGTTCATTCAGAGCCCCAGCTGCACACCAGGACAGGACAGACTGGGCACACTGGTTTCCTTAAGTATTTGCAATTAGAGAGGCCGTTGTGATGTCTCATTTGTGCCATCCTCTGCCTGAATGCAGGGACTGTCCCTTCAGCTGAGTTGCTGGTGGTTCCCCAGCACAGGTTCACCCTGCAGGGATGAAGAGGTGTTCTGGCCATCCTCTTTCATTTGCACCATCACCCTGAGTCCTCCCTGTCAACCTGAAATGGCACTGCTTAAAAGTACTTCCACCCTTGACCCAGGAAGGCCAGGTCTCCAGTGCTGTTTGCTTTAATTTACAGGCAGATGCTTGTTCCTGGGAGAACAGTAATGTCTGATCCTTCCAACAAGCTGCCGACCCCTGCCTGCCTGGTACCGCTCTGCTTCCCTGCTGGGCCTGATCAGACCCCACCTCCTCTTCCTAAAGTGCAGCTCACTACACAGACATGGACATTTCAACACATTTGATCACCTTCCTCATCCTCACTAGGACATCTCCTGTTTAGCAACCGGCTGCTCCAGATGCCTGGGGGTGTCACCTCATGGTGGGAGGTCAGAGACAGCTCGCAGCCAGAGCATTGATCCGGACAACCACAGGCTGTCCACGGCAACAGGAGAAGCCTCTGTGCAGAGCAGAGAGGCAGCTGGCAGGAGCACTGCCTCAGCTGAGGGCACAGGGCCTCTCCCCTCGCCTGGCAGGGTCCTGGGGTGCTGAGCACTGCCAATACACCCCATCAGCCAGCAGCCAGACCACTCTCCTCTCCAGCAATGTGCTGGGACAGAGAGCTGGCCCTGCTGCCAGCAATGCTCCCCAGCTCTCACCTCCCTGCTCCTTCCAAACCTGTGAAAGAGCTGGAAGCTCCTAAGGTCTCCTCTGAGACAAGTGAAGCTGTGATCTGGGGCTCAGCAGGTGGCTCTCAGGGTGGAGTTCAGCAGCACACTGCAGTAGGTTGGAGGTGATGAGCTAACGTTCCCCTTGGCCACGAACCTCTGCAGAGCCGTGAAATTTCCCTCCGCTTCCAAGATCCATGTCCTCCAGGTTGTCGCCTTAACTGGCTAAGAGCAAACTGCCTGGGATCCCAGACAGGGATCGAGCCATCGTGCACAGGCAGCAAACATCCCAGCTATGGCTGCTCTCCCCTCCCAAACATGATCTATTCACTGCAGCTCGCCTCTGTGCCAAGAGAGTGGAACCCTTGTGAAACCAGATCCAAACGAAGCCGAGGTCACGGGGATGTTTCAAGATGAATGGAGCACTCCCAGAAGATGTGGGCCAACTGGCTCACGTACAAACCATTCATTCCATAGGATTCCCCTGTGTCAAGCCACACGGCCCATTCAAAACAAAATGAAACAGAAAAACCCCTCCACCCGGCAGTCTGGGCGCCGGCTCCCTTCCCTTCCCACCTCCGCTTCCAGTATAAACCACAGCCAGGAGGTGTTTGTGGGGTGCTACCCAGGACAAGCAGCATACTGGGATTTCCCTGAGACAGCCAAATGCCAATAAACCCGACCCACTGACCACCAGCTCCACATTTTGCTCCTGCAGAACACTGCACAGCTCCATTACATCTCTCACGTGGTTGGAAAGATGCTGCTGGATATTAAATGAACACCTAACTTTGGATCCTGTCCAGAAAGTGTGTTAGGCATCAGGGCAACCTCCCCAACCTCGGTGTGGCCTAGATTTGGCATTGAATTTCACCATGAGACCTGGCAGTACTCTCTAGGTTTCCCTGGAGAAGACACAGGGGTGAAGAGGACAAGAAAAGATAACCCGGTCTCACCTCTTGTTCTGAGAGCCCGTCGATGATTTCTGACACCTCGTGCTCGCTGCGTGCGGCTGACATGGAGAGCCCGCCACTGCCCCTCTGTCCTACCCTGCTGGGAAAGGGCAGTGACACACTCAGGCACTGATGCTCCATTTCATAAGCAGCAAACCACATTCAAGACAACTTTGACCTCCATAGCCATATCCCAACACTCCACCCAGGCCACCCCATCCCACGCTGCGGGAATGGCACCCACATTTAGGGCTCACAGTCTCAAACCACCTTCCTTACCTGTGCCAGCTTCCTGGATTGCTAGAACATAAGCACATTTCACACCCAATCACACTCTCCCCTGTATTTTCTCCTGTTCATCCCACCATAGCAATGGCACAAAGGTGTCAATGATAGTACCGAGCCATTAGCACTGTGCCACCACATCTGGCTTGAAAATGCTCCAGGAAATTTTAAATCAAACCCATCCATTGACATCTTCCCCCCATTTCCACTATCAGCCACACATCCCAAGGAAATACAACTTTTCTTATTAAGCAGGTAAAAAATTAAAACATTTCTCAGTACCATTTCTCCCTTTCTGTTTAAGATAAAATAAAACCATCAATTAGGAAGTTTGGACCCATCCAGTAGTTAGTGGGGCACAAGGATGGGAAGCTGGCAGTCAGTTTGGATTCTGCACACATCAGGCGTCCCCGAGCAAGATCCCAGGGCTGAAATGTGAAGGACAGGGAGTTTTCAGCAAAAAGGGTGGAGATCATGAAATCGTGTCTCCTCCTGGCAAGAAACATTGTGACCTCAGTTGCACTTCCAATGAGGAGAGGAAAATGGACAGGGGCTGGGAGAGACAGGGGACATCCCTTCCAGTGACATTTTGCTCCCTTCATATAATTTGCAGCCATTCCAATAGCCTCTGCAGATGTTTCTTCTCCCTGCCCATGCTCCCATCAAAGCATGTGCATGTATTAAATCATCAACATGACCAAATGCATCTGCAAGTCTCATACAACTGAATTTGGGCCCATCAGCAAGGCAGGAATTAGCGCTGTCCTGTGGCCAGCACAAGGGAGCTGCCCCTGGCTCCAACATGGCCAGCTGGGAGATCAGCAGCAGAGGTGAGACAGGCAGTCACATTCCTAACATTTGTCCTTCTTTTGGCTCTGTGCTGAGCCACCCTGGGGAAAAAGCAGCAAGGCTGCTCGTCTGCTGGTTTCTGCCTTTGACCAGAGAGGGAGAAAAGGGACCGACAACCATCCCAGCCCACTCCTCCCGCAAGCAAATCCCACACCCATTCCCAAAGAAAAAAGAAAGGCTGTCTGATACCAGCTCAGCCCCTTCCTACCGCTTCTCCTCTAACCTCTGCATGCGCTCTTGCAGTTCCCGCTGCTTCCGGATCTCCGGGAATTGCTTCTCATAGTATTCCCGCACTTTGCTCTCTTTGGCACGGCGCCGGGGGTTATTTTCGATGCGCTCCACTTTTTTTTCCCAGGCCTCCATCAGCTGGTCATAGCGCTGGCAAAACTTCTGTTCCTGAAAGGGCAGAGGGAGAGAGGGATCTCAGAGAAGTGCCTGGGAAGGGCAGCTCCTCCAGGCCTGGCCCTCGATGGCTGCTCAGGCTGAGAATGAGTCATGTCGCTTAAAGAAATACAGTTTATTAGGGCATGGACGTGCTCCAGGGTAGGGGACCAACCCAAGGGTGAATTCTCAAAACAGGCCATCAGTTACCCTCAGGCTCTTCCCTTCCAGACCCAACATCTTTAGTGGAACCATGATTCTCATCCAGCATGACTTTTCCCACCCCCCACACCTTCTGCCTGAGCATCCTCCAGAGTATTAGGTGCTTGATTCAGCAACCAAAGCCCCTGTGCTGGGGAGGGACCCCTGCTCCGTGAACCAGGAGAGAGCACAGTGCCTGCCTGAGTCCACTGAGCCAAAAGGGACTGAAACCTGGCCTTGGGAGGAGGTACAGGGGGCAGAAGAGCAGGTCCCCACTATGTGAACAGGGTGTGAAGGGCAGTAATTTTGGAGCTGCCAGCAAACCATGCTGGGCAGAGGCTTGCCATGGTGCCCACAGCTGGGCACTCCTTCCCACACACACACACACACCAGCTCCAGTGCTCATGGTCCTGTGTCGGCAATGCTGATGGGACTGGGGCCATGGGGCAGCTCCATGCATGGGCCTGGCTCCCCAAAATCAAGAGCCAGGCACCCAGCCCCTGTCCAAGGCCATACATTGTGGTAGCCTAGCCACAGTGTGATGCCCCGCAGCTCCTACACCACCTTAGAAACCAAAAGTATTTTTCCAGCTGATGCTCTTCCTTTTTGGCCCAGGAACAGGACGAGCACATCCCCACTGACAGTAAACCCAGGCTCCAACAAAACGTGGCACTGCAAGAGGTTTCCACACCATATCCCCCTCGGTGACATCCTCATGGCACATCCACCCAGTCACCCACCAGGTCCAGCACTGCCTTTCTGCCAAGTATTTATGGGACCAGCCTGGTAACTTTGAAATACAATTTGCAACACAAATGAGCCTCCTCCCACCCTCCACCCCCCCGAATCACTCCTCCCTCTTCCGGACACACTCCCGCTGGAGGAGAACGCCCACGGACAGGTGAGGTCCATACTGGGGAGACACCTGTCTGGTCCCTGACAGCTGCTGCACTGGCAGCAGTGATGGTGCCCAGCCTCATGTGAGAGCAGCTGGGTGACCAGAGGGGATTTAAGGTTTCATTTTGAGACAGACGAATGCCTTCCAAGCCCCAAATCAGGAAGTGAAAGCAGATGTCGCTCTAACGGCAAACCCCAGGTCGCTCCTAACCCTGACGCTGCTTTCCAGAACGGGCAGCTCGGCACTGCACTGGCACCGCAGCAGAGACCAGGGCAGTCTGGATTTCAAAGAAATAAACTCATCTCTTGCCACCACTGCCCCACAACCGGAAGGAAGTCTGAGGCTGCAAGATTTCCCTGCTGCACTCTACTCTTGCCCCGCTTGCTCTCGGCCACCAAGAAAAATTGAGAGAGGCAAAAACCACCCCCAAAACAATGGAAACACCTGATTCCAGGTCAGGAGGCAGCTGGGTTACCCCCAGGCTGGGTCAGTTGTACTGTGGACACCAAGCACCAGCAGCTCCACAGCCCATCACTGGTGTCAAGCACCCACAGCAACTGGTAGCCAGTGTCATGCTGATCATGGCACGTGGGTTTGGTCCAGCCATCCTGGACCTGGCACTAATTCAAGCACAGCAGCATGTCTTTGATCTTTGTGGCCTTTTGGAGGTACCTCAACAATAATGTGAGGCAGACAAAGCACCTCCAGCCCCAGAGCTGAGCCAGATTAACACCTTCCCCTGAAAATAAATCAATTAATTCCCTTTTGCATGCCTGGAGTCAGAGACTGTCCTGCCTTGCATGGATGCACAGGAGATGCTTGGGTTTCATCAGGAGCTAAAGGAAACAGTCAAAAGATGAAAGTGAGGAATGAGAACAAAAATTAAAATGCCCTAAAAGCCAACATGGGGAATCTCGTGCTGCGGGTGAGGAGCTACAGGTAACACCAACAGCCCGCGGCAGCTCGGAGAAATCACAGCTGCTGCGTTTTCACCCCTCCCAAAGCGATGCCATCAGCCCCCTGAAAATGAGAGCTCCCACCCTGCCAGCAAATCTGCTACATCCTCCTGCTTTCAGAGCATCGCATTTGGGAAGAGGCTAAAAATACGCTGCAAAGTTTATAAAGCCTCAGCACCGGGAGGCAGCCGGTGCCTGGTGCTGTGTGCCAGCCTGCGGCACGGCCGGGGGAGAGCCCAGCACGAGGGCTTGGTCTGCTGAGAAGCCTGGAGGCTTTGAAAGGTTTGTCATTCCCAGTGGGAATGAGCCAGTGCTGGGTCCCGCAGAGCCACCTGGCATGGCCCTGGCTGCTTCACAGCCGGTGGGGTGGCTCTTCTTCCTCCTTTTCCTCCACTCCTTGGAACAACTTGACAAAAGCTTTATCCAGAGTTCCTGTTTCAAGAAACTGGCATTTGCAGATGGCAAAAGCAGCATCCACGTCACACTGCTGTATCCCCAGCAGCTCACACCTTGGCAGCAGGGCAGCAGTACCAAAGCTCCCCCCTCACAGCTCAGCCTTCCTGAGCATGGCTTTGCAATGGACCATCTGCGCATTTCCTTGATGCCCCTTCCCATCACGGAGCAGAGAGATCCTTCCTGCCACACAAACTTCAAACCCCTCTGCAGCAGGGCTGGGATGCTGCATCCCCATCCAGTGCTTTTTGCTCCAGCTGGGACATGCACTCCCTGCAATCACTTGCATCCTTCAAAAGGAAAGATTTCAGGCACCTTACAGCACTGTGAACTCCCCAGATCTTCACAGCCCCATCACCAGGAGAAGCTCTCGGTCAGAACAGAAGCAATTTTTCCTTCTCGAAGCATCCTCTGAGCAGCCCTAAGCAAGCAAGTCCATTCCTGAGCAACCATCTGTGCTGGCTTTTAGCATCGGTGCTTCCTCTGCTCCCCTTCCCCGCTGGACTCGCCAGCCCATCGGCCTCTCAATCACACCAGTAAGTGATAGTGAGCCAAATCGGACCTGACATGCGTATCTAAAAATGGATGGATAGTAACGCTGCCGTAGCAGCTGAAGGCAGTTTGTGGGCTGTGCCAAGCCCGAGCCCTCCCGCAGCCCACGCTCTCGCAGCTCCAGGGAACGGAGCAGCTCTTTGGAAGGGAGGAGAAGAGTGAAGGTGACAGGAGGCACCAGTCCAATTCCTATGCAAGCCCCAAGGTTTTGTTCCCTTGGCTGATGGAGATGTACCTCTCACACCCAGAACAACTCCCTTCACTATTCCCTCTCTGCAGCATCACCCCGATGGCAATTAAAAGTCTTCTGCTGTGTTGACCTCAGTGGAGGCAGGAGGAAGCCCTGCAGATCCCCTGGGATGGGGCTGTGAGGGCTGGACCCTGCAGGGACCGAGCTCTGACCCTGCTCCAGCCGGCCCCAGGCAGCGACAATACCCCAGAAAGTAAAAGAGCCAGAAAGAAATGCTGGCACGTAGATGGGCTTTGCTAAAAATAGGGTCTGCTACAAAATAGGCAGAAAAATAGCTAAGCATACCCATTTTGCAAACAGAATCAGCAAATGTATTCACTTTGCAAATTCAGCAACCGTATGTTGCCTATTTTGTAGAATAGGCAAAATGCTTCCCTAAACTGAAAAATCCCCTTTCAAGGACACTGAATAAACCGGCTGGCAGAAATTCACCTATTTTGCATGACAGGCGACTTTACCACGAGTCGTATTTTAGGAACTGTGCTCTTGCAGCCTAATTAAGCCTTTTCCCCCAGCTCCTTGATATCCACCCAGAGCAACTCACTCTAGGTTTAGCACAGTAACTGGCCATTTCCACCAGAAAGCAGCTCTCAGGCGCTTCTCTCCTGATTCCAGTAAAACCGCACGATGCTTTGCAATCCCTGTTTTGAGGAAGGGAATATTGATCCGCTTCCCACCACGAAGAAGTCCTCAGCTGTGCCAGGAGAGGTACCCTGAGTAGAACCCAACTGCCACACCACATCCTGTTGAAGGTATAAGCCCTGTAACCCCTCACTAGAGACCTGGAAGAAGTTTTATCATGGAAAAGTCTAAATGAACATGTATTTGGACACGAATGGGAGACACGATTATTTCCTATGGAGTGCAGTATCTGTGGCTTTTGGAAGACTGCTATAAAATGAGGAAAAAGCAAACCATGGGAAAGAAAAGGAACATGCCTTTATTCACCATAAATAAGAAAATAATGAGATTACTGGCTCAGAAATGCCTGTCTTGAAAGCTACTTTTAAAGCCAGAGCTTTCAAACCACTTTCCAGGCTTGTTATTTTGAATTTTTCCAACAATTCCTCCCAGTTGGAGTACTTCTGTCCAAAACCACCCCAAAGGCATTGAGAAAACCTGCACCATTGGCAATACAAAACACTAGCACCAGCACCTGAGCCTGTCCCAGAACAGAAACACCAAGTCAGGAGACAGCATTTCCATCTTCCACGTGAAACATGAAGCCCTGCACCATGAGCTGAATCACCCATCACCAAAAGCCACCACAAAATTCACCTTCCTGGTGGGGGCAGTTGGTTGTTCTGGCATTTACCCTTCTGTGCTGATTCTGCTTCCCAACTCCTGCCAGCAATGACCACAACTGTCAGCACCAAAAACGTATAAATTCTGTGAAACCCACTTGAACCTTCTCCCCTGTTTACTGGGGACCTGCAACAAATGCCTTTGAAGCCCCATAATCACTCCCACCTTGCCCCTTACCTAACCAAGACCCATTTCCTTAAAGGACACCGAAACTCTTTCGTGAGCAAAGCTACCTAGAAACAAACTCGCGCAGGGCTTGGATTTTGTTTTAAACCACAAATTCCTACAACGTTGCTCTGTGGTCAGCTGGAAGGAGTCAGAGCAGCCTCCAGACCATTTATCGGAAGCAGAGTCAGCTTGTTTCACACCTCTCTTAGGGTTCAATTACTCACAAAATAGACATTTATGCTGTGAATAGGCTTTCTGAGATCAGTGATGGGCTCCGCTGTGATTAAGCCAACCCCACATGTTTGCTCTGCGGGGGGCACTTGCGGAAGGAGGTACTGCCTGCAGCAGGATCAGGGACCTCTACTTCACATCCATGTTATTTTAAGCAGAAGAGATTCCACAGCAATGCAACAGGCAAAGTACCGAGCACCAGCACCTCTCTGCTGGAAACCATCCTTTTCTCTCTCGCTTAATAAATTACACGGCTTTATACGTATAAAATAAGGTCTAAGGGAATCACTCACCCACTGTTTGCGCGCATGATTTCTCCTCTTAAAGTACAAAATTAACTTTTTCCGCATTGCCTGGTTTCTGTAAAGAGAGAAAAAAAGATGAGATCCGATTAAAGAGGAGGCTAAAATACACAGCCTGGCTTTCCCCCTCCCCCCCCCAAAGCAGTTTGCAACACAGTTTCCACCTTAACTCGGAATTACATCAACTTCAGAGCAGCGAATGCTGTTATCTGGGAACTCACACCAGCTTAGAGAAAGACAAACAAACCCTCCGACATAGGGAACCTCGCCCACATCTGTTGACGTGGACTAAGGTTCAGAACTAAATCCATAAACTCCCATTCTGTGAACCTTCCCTGTTTGCTCAGCATCGCACGCGGGTAGACGTTCAGCTCTGCATCTACCAATGGGTCAGGTTGTTTCTTCATTATTTTTACACGTTGATCTGCAAAACCCCAGTGGGTTCTCAAGAGTTGGGGGGCTCAGGCCAAGCTCTGCATGGCAGGAGGTGACCCCCCCCAAGCACCCCAGTGTCTAGGGCCAGCAGTGATGGGGCTGTCGGTGCACACATGCTCCCAAAGGGTTGTTCAGCCCGGGCTCCAAGGTGAAGTCTCCTGCATAAGGAGGCAGGATCACAGCAGGGCTTGCAGCACTTATCTCCTGACCTCTTGCTTCCTTGGAGTCGTGCCCAACAAAGCTGCAAACAACCAGCCACGAGAGCTCAGCCACTTGCAGAATTAGGACCTCAAGGGAGAAACCAGCCACCGCAACCCCAGTGTCTGCCCAGACACCACCCTGCTTTCTTCTTCTTTCTAAAGGCAGCATGAAATAACTGCTCAAATAGAAACAGCACCAGAGGTGAACGGAGCTGGAAAGGCTGCAGGAGCTCCCAGAGCCTGCACAAGCCCCAGAGCTGAGCTCCTGTGGTTGTTTCTGTTACTAATATTCACAGCAATAAAATCTCTAGGTAAAAGGTACAGATCAGGGGCAAAGGAGTTTCCTTAAGTCTTCTATCCTGATTAAAGGCAGAGCTGCAGCGTGTAATTACTGATCAGGAGCTTAGCAGTCTCATGTAGGCATGTTCTGTGGGATTTACCCGACTGAAGAGACACCCTTGCTGCTTCCTCATTCCCCTCCTGCCTGGCTAGCGGGAAGGGAAAAACCACCCTCCTCTCCCTATAAATTCTTCAGCCTAATCAGCAGCAAACAGGACTGTTTGGGAAGGGGCAAAGGGTTCATCTCACTGAGAGAGGAAGTGGGGGCAGTCCTGGCTAAATTTAGGGATGGAGAACATCACAGAAAGCATCAACATTTTTCCCTTTTTTAACTCTCTTCTGGCCACACCACTGAACCATGCACTGGCACACACAAGAATGACAATGATCCCACAGCAAGCGCTGTCCTGGGAAACACAGGTCCCTCCAGCCCACTGCTGAGGCTGCACCACCTCTGCACTGGCAGCATGTTGGGGGATCCCATCCCACAGGCATGTGAGCAGCCTTGGGTGAGGGGGCCTTCAACCAGGACCACCTCAGAAATCAAGTACGCTGCTAGAGGAAAGGCAGCAGGATTCAGGACAGGGATAACCCCTTCTCCAGCACAGCAGAGTCACATTCAGCTTTGTGATCTCTTTTTAGTTCATCAAGGAGGAAACTCATCAGGCTTGATTCTTCAGGTAAGGGACGAACAAAGAGTCCCTGACGCCTGCCTGAGCTGCACCATATCTTCACTCCCTTTGCCTCTGCCTTCAACCCTCTGATGCAAAAACAGACCTTGATTTCCAAGGCAGTGCTAGCAAGCAGTGCTCATACCAATGGAAAACACCAGCTACCAGCAGGGAACAAGCTCCCATGTCCCCAGCTAGAGCCACACCAAATCCCTGTGCACTCCTGATTCCGGGCAGCATCCACATCAGCAGAAGGCACAGCCAAGTGACGGAGCTGGAGGCTCCTGCAGACCTGACACATGGATCCACAAACGGTTTTCTGAGTGAGGGCTTGAGTAGCAAGCTACATCCTTTGATTCTCTCTTTCAGGAATCAAAGTGGCATTGATCACTGGGGGAGGAAAAACCAAATAAACCCACGCACTGGGCACTTTCTGCCTTTGCTCTTGTTTGACATGTTTTTACGAGAGACCCACTGCTGTTGTGGGCTGCACTATGAAGCCCAAAGGCCACCTTGTTAGACATGTTTATAACTATTGCTGCTGCCAAAGGCTTTTCCCTCTGGATCACACAACAGCACCACCTTTTGTTTCTGCCTGTGTGGGGCATCCATGGAGGAGCCTCAAAGGGGGTCAAAGGTGACTGGCTGAGCTACACCTCAATGCTCATCTTGGTGCAAAGAGCATTCACCTGCCTTTAAAGGTGAGGGAAACTGAGGCACAGAGTTGCAGTAACATCTGCCCACCAGTGCAGGGAGGGAAGCATGAGAAACGAGGAGCAGGATAATGCTGTGCTGAATGCTCCAGAGCATCCATCTCCAGACACACAGGTAAGGTCCATCCAGCAGCATCCAGCACCTGTTTGTCAGCCCCAGCTCCTCACACGCTCCTGCATCCCTTCATGTTGCACACAGAGAGCTTTCATCACCGGCCCCAGCGCCGTGTGGTGCCACAGCAGGCAGCAAACCCCGCAGAGACCCCGTCGGACAGATTTCCTTCCACGGCTTCAGCTCTGTGCGAACAAGCTCCGACGGGTCACTGTGCCCAACAGACACATTCTGGTTATTTGTTTGTTTATTCCAATTCTAACAGAGGCTCTAACACAGAGAAATCGCTGGGGTGACAAGCATGCATGGGGATGGTTCCCAAGAAGGGGTCATGGATTGTCCCCTGGGGCCAGCCCAGCTACATCAACCTCTGCTCTCCCCCCGTCAGCCTGGGTGACATCGAGGAACAACACAGACTTTGACACACTGCTGCTGGATCTGCCGCTCAAGTTCTCGGAAAAAAGGAGCGTAAATGAAGGAAATTAGCAGCTCTAATGCAGCTGATGTGTTGCCTTGAGTTGTGCATCATGGCTGACCTTGAAAGTGCTAATACAGGCAAAGGCTTAATGGCTCTGCAGCTGCAAAAATCAGGAATGCCTTGAAAGCTGGTGTATGTTTACCACCACCCAGGCTGAGGTAATCAAAGAGTGAAAGGATTAAAACAACAACAAACCCCCTCATGCCCTGAATGTTTTTGCCACTTTATCTTTTTTTTGTTTTGTTTTGTTTTTGCATAAGGTCAACCTTTCAAAGGTTAATACAATCTCGGTAAATATAAATAGGCTTCACAGTTTATCTTGCTACATGTACTGCTGTTACTTAGAAACCGTTTGCAGGGAGGTTAATTCGGGCCACATGTCTCCGAAGCACACGCTGTGCTCCCTGGGCAAATCACCGAGCCGAGCACAACCGCTGCGGCACAGGCGGGGAAGGTGAGGGCTGTCTGCTGGGAGTCGGGCACGGATGTAACCCCTGTGGAGCGGCACATGGGAAAGGTCGCTCGTGCGAGGTGCCAACCCTCCTCCATCCTCCTCCTCCTCCTCCCCAGCCCGTGGTTTTCTGGGGCACAAGAAAAGCATCACGGATGGAGACCTGAACCGCGGAGAGGTGAAGAAATCAGGCGGCTCCCAGGCAGGAGGAATGGAGGCTCCTTAGATAAAGCAACAGTGACTCTTGTGGGCAGTTTTAAGTATTGCTGGGCTGGCACGCCACACCACGCCGGGTGGGGAGAACATGCGAGCTGAGCTCGTAAGGACAGGGTAAGCTGGGAAAGACACAGAGCCCGCCCAGCTTCTGGTGAGCTGGTGTTTGGAGCCTGCCAGATGGCACATCCTCATCCTTGTGGTCAACGATTCATCTAACGGATGGTGCCCACCTGCATTCCTGACTTCCCTGGGGCTGGGGGCTCCCTGGTGTGCCCACGGGGAAGGACCTTGCTTCTGGTCCAGCTTCACACAGCATCCCTCAGCACCGGCTGCCATTTCCCACTCGCCTGCCTCAGAGCAGCCCCAGTCTAACATTTCCCTCTGAAGGCAGCTCTCCTCCAGGGTTAGGACACAACATGCAGTTACCTTCTCCGTGACAAAAGCTATTCCAGCCCTTTGGTCACCAGAGGAGCTTATCCTGCAACTTCTCTGGGAAGGAGACAAGCCAGTGTGGGTCATGCACCACAGCCTTCTCCAGAGAGACAATGACCATGTGAGCTCCTGCAGATGCCAGGCACAGAGTTGCCACCAGACAGCCCAGGAAGCAGGATTCACACACTGTCTATACTCTTGGGTGCGATTCTGCAAGAGGTTTTTATCCTCGTATAACTCATCCTCACCTCCCAGCCCCACTGCCCTGACTGGCGAGCCCACACCGGAGCAGGATTCTTGGAGCCAGCCTCCAAACCGCTGAGTGAAACCCATCTCCCTCCCTGAACAAAGCAAAGTGAGCCCTGTGGGAGCAGCCGCTTCCACCTTCACTGGCTTGGCCCAAGGTTGTTTTTGTTTTATGGCTTTCACAATGGAGCCAGTTAGGGAGAGAACCTGTAACTCCGACTTTTGAGTTACTTGGCTCAGATCCACACGAATGACTTGGACACGATCCTTCCGGAGGCTGCGATACTAAAAGGATGTGCGTGCACACAGGCGTGTCGGTGCTGGTGTGTACCCACGTGTGGACACTGCCAAAGCCCTGGGATAAGGCTCCCAAAGGATACAAAGAGCCAATGCACTGCGGCACACCTGGCCGAGCCCGCCGAGACCTTCAGCCGGTGCAAGACGAGATGAAAGGAAGTTTGATATTTGAGCAAAACTAATCAGGGGTATTTAATTACACAGGAACGTCTTTCATCAAACAGCCAAGGCAAACAAAGTAGGGACCAAGCTGCAAAGAGCAATGGGAAGGAGGCAGTGAGCAGCTGGCAACGCCATTGTACAGTGAGATGGATCACGCAGGCAAGGGTAGGAAACGGAGGAAGCTCCTGGTAACTCCAGCCAAACAAAGCACAGGGAGATGAGGGATCTGCAAATCAGGGGACCCGAGGAGCACAGCAAGAACACTCTGAGGTGAAACCAGCCAAGAGGCAACGGAGACCAAAACAG